CTATAAAAGTTATATATTCATTGGAGAAAATACAGATAAATGAAGTAAACAAAATATATAGATATCATCTTCAGTCTAACCCCTCAGAAAACAAATATGTTGGTATTTATATACCTATTCATATACTTTAAGAAAATAACATTTTGGGGCACTTGGGTGGCTCAGTCTGACTTTGGCTCAAATCATGATCTCATGGGTTTGTGTGTTTGAGCCCCGCATTGGGCTCTGTGCGGACAGCTTGGGGCCTGGAGCCTGCTTCAGATTCTGTGTCTCCCCTTCTCTCTGCCCTTCCCTGCTGCTTGTGTGCATGCTCTCAGAAAAAAAAAATGAATAAACTTAAAAAAAGTTTTTTTTAAAGAAAATAGCATTTTGTAAACTACTTTGGTCATGTGTTAATACAGCATTAACTCCTTTTTGCTTAATTTGATTCATCATCTCCTGGGTTTTTGAAAAAATTTTATCAAATTATTTTATTTTAATTTCAGTATAGTTAACATGTAGCGTTATCTTAGTTTCATGTGTACAATATAGTGATTCAACAATTCTATACATTACTCAGTACTCATCATAAGTGTACTCTTTTTTAAAATTTTTTTAATGTTTGCTTATTTTTGAGAGACAGGGAGGGAGAGAGAGACAGAGCCCGAGTCGGGGAGGGGCAGAGACACAGGGAGACACAGAATCTGAAGCAGGCTCCAGGCTCTGAGCTATCAACACACAGCCCTACGTGGGGCTTAAACCTATTTGCCATGAGATCATAACCTGAGCAGAAGTCAGACACCCAACCAACTGAGCCACCAGGAGTCCTGATAAGTCATAATCCCTTTATCTGTTTCACCCATCCCCCTATCCACCTCCCCTCTGGAAACTATCAGTTTGTTCTTTGTTATAGTTAAGAGTCAGTTTCTTGGTTTGTTTCTCTGTCTCTCTCTCTTTTTTCTTTTGTTTCTTAAATTCCATATAAATGAAATCATATGATATTTCTTTCTCTGACTGACTTATTTTACTTAGCATTATACTCTCTAGCTCCATCCATGTCATTGCAAATGGCAAGATTTCCTTATTTTTATGGCTGAATAATATTCCTGTGTGTGTGTGTGTGTGTGTGTGTGTGTGTGTGTGTGTGTGTATTACATCTTTATCCATCTGTTGATGGACACTTGGGCTGCTTCCATAATTTGGCTATTGTAAATAATGCTGCAGTAAATGTAAGAGTGAATATATCCTTTCAAATTAGTGTTTTTGTATTCTTTGGGTAAATACCCAGTAGTGCGATAACTGGATCATGGAGTAGTTCAATTTTTAATTTTTTAAAGACCCTCCATACTGTGTTCCACAGTGGCTGCACCAGTTTGCATTCCCACCACCAGTGCACAAAGGTTACTTTTTCTTCACATCCTCACCAACACTTGTTTCTTGTGTAACCTCCTGTTTTAATGTACAAAATGGAGGTAAGATACTGTATTGCTTGCCATCTTTGTCTAGATTTGGTATTCTTTTGGAAGTAAGCTAAGGAATTTTTTGAGTCATTCATAGAGGTTTCTCCAAAGAAGACCTACATACAGCCAACAGACACAGGAAAGATGCTCAACATCGCTAATCATCAGGGAAATGCAAATCAAAACCACAATGAGCTATATCACCTCACACTAGTCAGAATGGCTAGTATCAAAAAGACAAGAAATAGCAAGTGTTGGCAAAGGTGGGGAGATAAGGGAACCCTTGGATTCTGTTGATGGGAGTGTAAATCGGTGCAGCCAGTATGGAAAACACTATGGAGTTTCCTTAAAAAATTAAAAATAAAAGTATCATACGATCCAATAATTCTATCACTTAGATACTTACCCAAGGAAAACACAAACACTAATTTGAAAGATAAATGCAGGGGCGCCTGGGTGGCTCGGTCAGTTAAGCGTTCGACTTCGGCTCAGGTCATGATCTCACTGTCTGTGAGTTCGAGCCCCGCGTCGGGCTCTGTGCTGACAGCTCAGAGCCTGGAGCCTGTTTCAGATTCTGTGTCTCCCTCTCTCTCTGCCCCTCCCCTCTTCACGCTCTGTCTCTCTCTGTCTCAAAAATAAAAATAAACATTAAAAAAAAAAAAAAAAGAAAAAGAAAGATAAATGCACCCCTATGTTCATTGTAGCACTATTTACAGTAGTCAAGATATGGAAGCAACACAAGTGTCCCTTGATAAGATAAATATATAAAGAAGACACACACACACACACACACACACACACACACACACACACAGGAATATTACTCAGCCGTAAAAAAAAGAATGAAATCTTGCCATTTGTTACAACATAGATGGACTTAGAGGATATTATATTAAGTGAAATGAATCAGAGAATCAGACAGAGAAAGACAAATACCATGATTTCACTTATATGTGGAATCTGAAAAACAAAACAGAAACAAACAGACTCATTACATAGAACAAATCTGTAGCCAGAGGGGGAACAAATGGGAGAATGGACCAAATGGGTTAAGGTGATTAAGAGATACAAACTTCCAGTTAGAAAATAAATAAGTCACAAGGATGAAAAGTATAGCATAGAGCATATAGTCAATAATATTGTAATAACTATATGATGAAGGTGACAACTAGTCTTATCATGGTGAACATTGCATAATGTGTAGAATTGTTGAATCACCCTGTTGTACGTCGGAAACTAATATGACATTGCATGTCAGCTGTACTTCAATTTAAAAAAATCCCTGCCTATATGCAAGCTTAAGACTTTTACAGAGGAATTTCTTTTTTTTTTTTTTAAGTTTATTTATTTTGAGAGAGAGAGAGCACACGTGCTCGCAGGAGTAAGGGGAGGGTCAGAGAGAAGAGAGGGAGAATCTCAAGCACGGAGAATCTCCGTGCTGTCACCGCAGAGGCCAGTGCGGGGCTTGATCCCACAAACTGCGAGATCATGACTGGAGCTGAAATCAAGAGTCATTCACTCAACTGACTGAGCCACGCAGGCTGCCCCTTATAAGGGAATTTCTTATTGACATTGACAACAGAGGGAACTCTGGCTACAAGGATTTTCAGGAGAAAAAGTCAATCACTGGCCACAAATGAAAGGATTTTTTGTTTGATTTTTTTTCTTACATAGACTTTATGGCCAATATGAATCTACTTTCATAATAGCCAAAATTTAATAGTGTTCAAATAAAAAGAATATAAGGATGTAATTGTAAGGAGATGTAAAGATGCCTAAGATCTGGCTCCTATTAACTTGGTTGTCATAATAGAGTTAGCATATGTTGTGAAATAGATGATCTGAACTGCTGTCATGTAATAGAGAATGCTCTGAAAGTTTTTAAAGGAACCCACAAACTCCCTTAGTGTCCTCAAATCTTGACAATAAAGAGAAAATCTTCACATTCAAGGATAGAAAGCTTTATAACCTCAAATATGGTCTCTTGGTTTATACCTTCCCTTTAGGAATGTCTCTCCAGACATGTCTGTCAACCATGCATTGTACTCTGGCCCAAATTTAGACCATTACCTTTCACTTTATTCTCCCATGGCTTGCCACAACCAGGCGCTGATACTTAAATACAAGAAGGAAATACACAAATAGTTATCAACTGCATAATCTAACTCGCTTGCTGTAGCTTTGTAGCTCTAGGTCCTGTAGGCTCTGTTTCATCTTCACAGAATCTTGGAAGAGGAGGAGCTCAGTTCTGTAGGGCTGCCTGCCTGTATGATCTTTGGCCTTCTCTACCAACATGCCCTTCCAAGCATGACTTGACTCTGAAATCCAAGGCCAAAGAAGAAGAAAATATTCCCTTTCTTTTTAAACTAAAGCCATCTTTCAGTTTCTCATCTGTTAGTTCATGATGGATTCTTTCTGGATAATTGTGGAGACCCTACCCTCTGCTCACTGGAGTATTTCCTTGTTCTTTAGCCCCAACATGACAACCACATCAAAATACAATTCATTAAGATGAGCATTTTTACATAAAATAGAATCAGGACAAAATTTACTTAAAGACTTTAAAAATCATGAGCAAAGATTATTGATATTTTATTGATTACTCTTTTTTTTTAATTTAATGTTTATTTTTGAGAGAGAAAGAGAGAGACAGAACATGAGTGGGAGAGGGGCAGAGAGAGAATGGAGACACGGAATCCAAAGCAGGCTCCAGGCTCTGAGTTGTCAGCACAGAACCCGATGCTGGGCTCGAACTTGGGAATGGCGAGATCATGACCTAGGCCAATGTCTCAGACACCCAATCAACTGAGCCACCCAGGCTCCCCTTTTATTGATTACTCCTAAAACATCAGTTTTCACTTGCATGTCTTCAGTACCCTCAAGGAGTCTTTTTAGGCCCAACAAAATATTCAGGCTTACAGGACTGCCAGGGGCCATACTGGCATTCATCTACTTAGGAGGATACAGTCCAGGAAGGGGCAGTGCTAGGCATCTCTTTTCAGTGGAGTAGTCCTCATAGGAGTGGGTATAGCAGTCCAAAGGTTTTCTGCCTTTCACTTCTTCCTTCCCCAACCTCCTCCAAGTCACAGCTCAGGTGCAGGAAAACAACATCCACATTGTGCAGATCAGGGAGCCACCATGGGTTAGAAGCCTCATATAGTACAACTGCTAATATCTCCCATAGAAGCTTTATCGGTATAGATTCCAGGGTCCCCTAGGGACATACCTTGAGTCATCCCACTCAGAAGTTCAAAGCTATAGCTTCCCACCAAGTAATTGAGTGATTTTTACCATAAGCAATGTTGCCTAGTAACACAGCTGACATTCACCTTATCAGGTTTCCAGGGCAAAAGAGATAGAAAGTTAATCCAAGGTCACACTTGTCTTTAAGGAGATTTTTTTTTACCTTTTATCCACAACTTCTCAAGAGTATTTTTATAAAGATGACTGTGATTTCAAATTTGCCTGAAATAAATGGTTTTGAAGTAGCTTCATAATTTTCTGTCCTATAATGGTAAATTTTAGCTTTTCTTCCTTTGACTGTTTTTCCTTTTTTGATAGGTCGAATCAAATATTCTGAACAGGTGTATGATGCGTGTATGGAGACATTTGACTGTCTTCCTCTTGCTGCCCTCTTAAACCAGCAGTTTCTGTGTGTACATGGAGGGATGTCGCCTGAAATTACTAGTTTAGATGACATTAGGAAAGTAAGTAATCTTTCATTAGTCTCATGGAGTATATATATCTTTAGTTCAGTTTTTTTGGTTTTTTGTTTTTTTGCAGTCAGCTAATATGCCTCCGTCTGAAAATTTTTAAATACTGATAATCAAAAGTAAGAAACTGGAAATCACCTACAATCTCATTATTGGGAGATAACTACTGATAATATTTTGCTATTCCAGAAAATTTCTGTAAATTTTAATGAAATCTGTACTTTTACCAAGTAGAAACATAACATATTTTGGGTACAGTCCTGAGACTTTAAATAAATTGTGTAGCAATACAAAAGGAAGGAAATCAGGATTCTAATCCCTGTCCTGCAGTCAATTGTGCAATCTTGACCAAATCCCTTAAGTCTTAGTCACATTTTCTTCTCTGGGAAATAAGGAAGTTAGAATGGATGATCTGAGGACTTCCAGCTCTGAAATTTGTTGACATTGACATTTTAAATGATAGAGTTTAAGTTGCTATACTTGCGTGAGTTGGTGATTATTATTTTCAGGACTTCAAAAAAAGATGATCAATCTTTTTTCACTTCTGTTGTTCTACATTACCATCTTCTTTTCTCTACCTTTGTATTCTTTTACCTGTCTATGTAGGTACTGAAAGTAAAGATTTTTCTGTTTATAAAACTTTTCTCTGAATTAAGTTACTTTCCTCAGGGTAAGAGGGTATGCCTACATCTCTGCTGCCTTATCATCTTTAAAATAACCAGAATTTCTCTTTTACATTGTAAGTCTTGAGTTTCGCAATTCTGAACCAACTGTATTAAAAAAACACTCTCCTTTCACTTAGTAGAAGTCCTCAGCTATTTTAGTTACTCATTTTGTCTTGGTTTTTACGCTGCTAACCAAAGCAGCAGTGACTAAAGGCTTTAAATTGATAACTTACATTGAAATGCCTCCACTGCATAGAATGGAAAGGATGAAAGTCCTTTACAAAATAAAACTAGAAATCTCCATTGGGATGAGGTAAAAAATGAACAGAACCATTGTAAAACCTTTGCTCTTTTGATGGTAACCTTAGCTTACCTAGGCAGTTGAAATGAAGACTTTCCATAGCCTTTCTCAATAATAGTATATCTCTATAGTGGTTGATTTCACATTCGAATTAAATGAGTACTGCTTTTAATATTAGGATGTAAAGCAGTCCTTTCCTTAGATGACAGAGATATTTATAAAAAATTATTTCAAGAAAATAATAAAAATTGTATATCCAAGTTTGTTAAGTGTTTGTATTCTTCCTAAAGGAACAGTTCTTTAAGGTGCTTGCTGCTTTTCCCCCTAATACATTCTTGTGGGTGGGAGGTTTTTGGCTTTTGGGTTTTTGATGCATACCAGTTTCCAAAAGGTCTTTTGCTTTCATGATTTTTCTTCTTTTGGCTCTTGTGTGTCTTCTAGTTAGACAGGTTTAAAGAACCTCCAGCCTTTGGGCCAGTGTGTGACCTGCTTTGGTCTGATCCCTCAGAGGATTATGGCAGTGAAAAGACCTTGGAGCACTATACCCACAACACTGTCCGAGGGTGCTCTTATTTTTACAGGTAAGCTAATCCTCAAAGTTATAAAATTAGGGAAGGCAATTGCAATATGTTTCATCAAATTATTTTTAAGTATTTTATATCTTTAATTTGTATAGTATCGAACCTTCTGTTTAATTTTTTAATTAACAGAAGGCAGAAAACTCTTGTTTGTTTTGTGTTTTATATCTTAATTGGCATTCTGCCCTCATATATAAATACCCTCATGATACTTAAGTGTAATATACTGAACATGATTGAACAGAGTATCTTGCAGTGCTTAAATGTTATTTTCAGACTCTAGATAATCTTGATTATTTGTTCCCAAACATCATTGATAAGCTTTTTTAAAAATAAAGGTTTGTTGGGGCGCCTGGGTGGCGCAGTCGGTTGAGCGTCCGACTTCAGCCAGGTCACAATCTCACGGTCCGTGAGTTCGAGCCCCGCGTCAGGCTCTGGGCTGATGGCTCAGAGCCTGGAGCCTGTTTCCGATTCTGTGTCTCCCTCTCTCTCTGCCCCTCCCCTGTTCATGCTCTGTCTCTCTCTGTCCCAAAAATAAATAAATGTTGAAAAAAAAATTAAAAAAATAAAATAAAATAAAATAAAGGTTTGTTGACTCTTCCCCCAGAGATTCTGATTGAGTAGGTCTGAGACAGGAAAATCCTGTTATTTTTTTAAAAGCTCTCCAACTTCTGGAACCACTGCTATAGGCAAAGATATAAAAAGAACAGGACATTGTGAACTAAGCCCAGGACATTTCCTGGAAGTTGGCTGTTGTCTTAAATCTCACATGAGCTTTTATTGTGTTCTGCCGTTCAAAAATAGGGAGGTAGAGGGAGGTTTGAAGTCTAAATATTTTTAGTTCCAATATTTTACTGTGACAAGTAATGCATAAATGTAGTCCCCTAAAAAATCTGTTAATTGCCTAAGATAATATATTCATGAAGTGAAATCCACATACAAAAAGTAAAGAACTTCAAAATTGCCATAGTTTTAACATTTTTCTAAGCAACCTTGTTTTATTCCTTTTTGAGTCATTTAAATTTTACTTCTCTTGGGGCACGTGGGTGGCTCAGTTGGTTAAGCGTCCAACTTCAGCTCAGGTCATGATCTCGTGGTTCATGAGTTCGAGCCCCACATCGGGCTCTGTGTTCCCAGCTCAGAGCCTGGAGCCTGCTTCAGATTCTGTATCTCCCTGTCTCTCTGCCCCTCCACAACTCGTGCTCTGTCTCTCTGTCTCTGTCTCTGTCTCTCAAATATAAACATTAAAAAAAATTTTTTTTACTTCTCTTTACATTGCTTAAAATAAAGAGCATCATTTATTTTTTTATTGTTATTGTTTGTACAGTATAAACTGGTACAGTCTCCTTGGAGATCAGCTTGATAATATCTCTCAATTATAAATGTCCACCCAGGGCCTTTGAACCAGGAGTTGTCCTTCTAAAATGTAATCCTATAGCCATAAGTCAATCCTCGTTATTTATGAATTCTGAGCTGTAAATTTGCCTACTTGCTAAGAATTACTTGTAACTGCAAGGTCACCACTTAAACACTTTTGTGGTCATTCACAGACATGCACACATGCAGAGTGATGCAAAATTCGAGTCACCCCATGTGTGTTCCTAACTGAGGTTAACAAGGAGCTGCTCTGCCTTCTTTTTCCAGCTTTCATACTACAAGACTACCATTATACCATTCTTTCTGTGATCCATTTAGTGCAACATTTTTCACATTTTTTGTTGGCAATTTTGCTGTGTAAAATGGCCCCCAAGCATAGTGCTTAAGTGCTATCTGGTATTTCTATGTGTAAGAAGGCTGTGATGTGCCTTGCAGAGAAAATACGTGTATGTTATATAAACCTAATTCAGGAATGATTTGTGACATTGTTGTCCATGAGTTCCATGTTAATGAATCAACAGTATGTATTAAATAAGATGTCCTTAAACAGAAACACACATAAAACAAGGTTATGTATTGATTGATTAATGAAAATGTGACCAGAGGCTCCAGGACCCTATGTATTTTCTCTAGGAGCAGTGGTTCAGTTTTGACCAATTCCGTTTTTGCAACAACTTTATAGAACATAGCTACTACAAATAACAAGAATCAACTATATAAATGTGCAAATGTGTAAAATGTATGTACAGCTGACCCTTGAACACGATGCATTTGAACTATGCAGGTCCACTTATACATGGATTTTTTTTTTAAGTTTATTTATTTTAAGAGAGAGAGGGTGGGTGAGAGGCAGAGAGAAAGGGTGAGAGAGAGAATCCCAAGCAGGTTCTACACTGTCATCACAGAGATCGTGAGAGCCATGAGATTATGACCTGAGCTGAAATCAAGAGTCAGATGCTTAACCAACTGAGCCACCCAGGCGCCCCTACATGGATTCTTTATATAAATATAATACAGCACTATAAAAGTATTTTTTCTCCTTTATGATTTAAAAAAAATTTTTTTTTCAATGTTTTTTATTTATTTTTGGGACAGAGAGAGACAGAGCATGAACGGGGGAGGGGCAGAGAGAGAGGGAGACACAGAATCGGAAACAGGCTCCAGGCTCCGAGCCATCAGCCCAGAGCCTGACGCGGGGGTCGAACTCACGGACCGCGAGATCGTGACCTGGCTGAAGTCAGACGCCTAACCGACTGCGCCACCCAGGCGCCCCTAAAAAATTTTTTTTTTTCAATGTTTATTTATTTTTGGGACAGAGAGACACAGAGCATGAACGGGGGAGGGGCAGAGAGAGAGGGAGGAACAGAATCGGAAACAGGCTCCAGGCTCTGAGCCATCAGCCCAGAGCCCGACGCGGGGCTCGAACTCACGGACCGCGAGATCATGACCTGGCTGAAGTCGGACGCTTAACCGACTGCGCCACCCAGGCGCCCCTAAAAATTTTTTTTTAATGTTTATTCATTTTTTGAGAGACAGAGACAGTGTGAGTGGGGGAGGGGCAGAGAGAGAGGGAGACACAGAATCTGAAGCAGGCTTCTGTCTCTGAGCTGTCAGCACAGAGCCTGACATGGGGCTTGAACTCATGGACCATGAGATCATGACTTGAGCCGAAGTCAGATATTCAATTGGCGGTGGCACCCAGGCGCCCCCTTCCATATGGTTTTCTTAAGAACATTTTATTTTCTCCAGCTTATTTTATTATAAGAATACAGTATATGATACATACAACATACAGAATATCTGTCAGTTGACTGTTACGGGTAATACTTCTGGTCAGCAGGCCAGTAATTAAATTTTGGGGGAGTCAAAAGTTATGTACATGAGGGGTGCCTTGCTGGCTCAGTAAGTAGAGCCTGCAACTCTTGATCTCAGGGTTGTGAGTTCAGGCCCCACATTGGGCATGGCGCCTACTTCAAAAGAGTAATACATGTTAAAAAAGGTTATACAGTTGCACAGTTATAAAAAGTTACACAGATTTTTGACTGTGCAGGGAGTTAGCACTCCCTACATTATTCAGGGGTCAATGGTTCAAGGTTATATTCATTGCTGTATTATTATCTTTTTAAATTTTTTTTTTTAACGTTTATTTATTTTTGAGAGAGAGAGAGACAGAGCATGAACAGGGGAGGGTCAGAGAGAGAGAGAGGGAGACACAGAATCTGAAACAGGTTCCAGGCTCCAAGCTGTCAGCACGGAGCCCGACGCGGGGCTTGAACTCATGAACCGCGAGATCATGACCTGAGCCGAAGTCGGAAGCTTAACTGACTGAGCCACCCAGGCACCCCTATTATTATCTTTTTAAATGTTTATTTATTTTGAAAGAGCATGAGTAGAGGAGGGACAGAAAGAGAGAATCCCAAGCAAGCTCCATGCTGTTAATTTTGACACTTAAGCCAGACACTTAACCAACTGAGCCACCCAGGCACCCCTCACTGCTGTATTTTTTATGATAAAAGATTTAAAACAATCTAGATGTTCAATAGAAGACTAGTTAAATACCTTGTGGTATATTCAGACAATGGAACGTGCCAGACTATACAGTGAAGCTGTTTTTAAAAAAGAAAAAAAAAACAAACAAAAAACTTTGTACACTGATATAAAATCCTGGCATACTTTGTTTTATTGCACTTTGCTATATTGTACTTCATAGATACTGAGTTTTTTTACACATTGAATGTTGGGGCAGTCCTGTGTTGAGCAGGTCTCTTGGTGTTATTTTTCCAAAAGCATTTGCTCATGTCATGTCCCTGTGTACATTTTGGTAATTCTCCCTATATTTCAAACTTTTTAAATTGCTATTATATTTATTATGGTGATCTGTGATCAGTGATTAAAACCACTGAAATCTCAGTTATGGTTAGTATTTTTGGCAATATTTTTAAATTAAGATATGTACATTGTTTTTTAGACATAATGTTATTGCACACTCAATAGACTACAGTATAGTGTAAGCGTAACTTTTTCATGCACTGGGAAACAAAAAAATTCATTTGACTCACTTTATTTTGATATTTGCTTTGTTGTGGTGGTGTGGAACAGAACCAACTATATCTCCAAGGCATGCCTGTAGAACATCTTTTAAAGAGTACTCAAAGAAACTAGGAACATTGGTTGTTTCTAGGGTAGCTGGAAGCTAGATGTAGGAAGAAGGAAGGCATTTGGGGTGCCTAGCTGGCTCAGTTGATCTTGGGGTTGAGAGTTTGAGCCACATGTTTGGTGTAGAGATTACTAAAAATAAATAAATAAATTTTTAAAAAAACGAGAGAAGGGAGGTATTTCATTGTATAATCATTTGTATCTTTCAATTTTATACCAAATGAATGTACAATCTATTTTAAAAGTTAATATTTTCTAATGAGCATCATAAGAAACAAAGATTTAAACATAAAGTAAATAATTGGGGCACCTAAGTGGCTCAGTCGGTTAAGCATCCAACTCTTGGTCTCAGTTCATGATTCTTGGTCATGATCTCACAGTTTGTGGGTTCAGGCCTTGCACTGGGTTCTGCACTGCCGATGCTGAGCCTGCTTGGGATTCTGTCTCTCCCTGTCTGTCTCTGCCCTTCCCATGCTAGTGCTCTCTCTCTCTCTCTCAAAATAAATAATGATAAAGTAAATAATTAACACTTGGATAATTCCAGGATAATTTGGTATTTTCCAGTTCTTCCTATCAGGTATTTCTAAATGTAGAAAGATAACATTACTGAAAGAGAATGTTAGGAGCAGATGTAAATATCAGACCTTTCATTAGAATATGGTTGGGTGTAATATTTGTATTTACTCCTAAAATATTCCTGTATAATATTAATTTGGCATAGATATTACCTGTGAAGCTGTTAGTAGATTCTTTAACTTTTCAAACCATTTGACAGTTTGAAAATTGTGTATTCAATTTTTAGCAACTAATAATCTTTCTCTGTCTCTCTTTCTCTCACACCACACACTCTCTCTCTCTCTCTCTCTCTCTCTCTCTCTCTCTCTCTCCCCCTCTCCCTGGTACTTTTTTTTATATCAAGACACAAAGAAAAGTTTTGGTTTTATATTATTATGGATTAAGACAAAGACAGTTAAAAGGTAAAGGAGCTTTTTTTCTGTCGTAAGGTTATCTGTTACCTGTATATTTGATCTGGAATGAGTTATATTCATGAAGTAGAAAAACAGTGATGATTGCTAAGCCATAAATAAAGGTTCAGTGGTGGGGTGCCTGGGTGGCTCAGTCGGTTAAGCATCCAACTTCAGTTCAGGTCATAATCTTGAGGTTTGTGGGTTTGAGCCCTGCGCCAGGCTCTGTGCTGACAGCTCAGAGGTTGGAACCTGCTTCAGATTCTGTCTCCCTCCCTCTCTCTCTGCCCCTCCCCTGCTTGCTGTCTCTCTCTCTGTCTCTCAAATAAACGAACAATCAAACAAACAATAAAAGTCCAGTGGTATGTCAAAAACATGTCTTTTTGAAACAAATTCAACTAATGTCATCTTGACTTTTCCCCTTCCTCCTATTAAAAAACAGTTGTTTTAGTTCTGGATTTTATATTTTCTAATTTTCTATTCCAGTTACCCTGCAGTTTGTGAATTTTTGCAGAACAATAATTTGTTATCAATAATCAGAGCCCATGAAGCCCAAGATGCTGGGTAAGTTAGATTTATACTGTACCAGATATCACTGTGGAGTTTTTGCCTTTATTATTAAGACAGACGGACTGTTATTTCTCTTCCAGGTATCGAATGTACAGGAAGAGCCAAACAACAGGCTTTCCATCACTCATTACAATTTTCTCTGCCCCCAATTACCTAGATGTCTATAACAATAAAGGTAAAAGAGTCCAGCGATATTTGAGTTTGAATTTGTGAGTAAATGTGAGCTCTAGTTTAATCATATGTGTGTGTGGTTTTAAATCATATGTAAATTTTAAATAAAAAGAAAAGAGGTCTTAGTTGAAACAAAGGCCAAGAAACTTAGAATTTAGGCTACTGCTTGGTTTTCATTTCCTAAGGAGTATTGGGCTCTGTAAATAAATAATAGGTTTGATTTGTACTCCTGAATCAAAATATAAGACAAATAAATTACTTCAGGTTCAAGTTAGAATAGTCACCATAAATTATTAGTTTTGGTGAATTTATTTGTAACAGTACCTCAATAAAATGTCACTGGTATTTTAATGTTTGTACATTATTAAGCTGTTTTTGGTTTTCTTGAGGAATGGTACAGGCAGAGTGAATACCATAAAAAATTAAGAAAAATCATTTTAGTCCAATCCCTGCCAGAAACTAGTAGTGTAACTTTAGGTCTGTCATGTAATTTTTCTAAACCTCAATTTCCCATATTAAAAAAGACGATTAAATATAAATATGCCTTCAGTCCAGAAGTTCTCATTCTAAGACTTTATCCTATTGAAATTTTTTCTTTTTAAGTATGCCCAATGTGGGCCTTGAACGCATGACCTTGAGATTGAGAGTCACATGCTCTATTGACTGAGCCAGCCAGGTGCCCTGAAATCTTCTTTTTCTTTCTTTCTTTTTTTTTTTTTTTAATTTTTTAAGATTCATAGTTTGTAAGTTTTGTAGCACGGCAGACTTCCTCTGTAATATCCTCTGTAACATCCTCTGTAACTATTTTGTTGTTTATAAAGTATGACTATAAAATAATAGAACTTTAATACAAACATGCCAGAACGTATATATCCAAGTGAGTATTGTCCCTTCACAGTAGTTACCTTGGGAAGCTACACGCTTATTCCAACAATGCTGCCATTGTTCAAAACGTTTTTGGAACTCCTCTTTTGGCATTGCCTTCAGAATCTGCGACACATTCTTTTGATTATCCTCAGTGATGGGAAACCTTCGTCCTTTGAGGGTGGATTTGATTTTTGGAACAGCCAAAGGTTATTCGGAGTCAAGACTGGTGAATAAGGTGAGTGATCAAGCTAGATGGTACCATTTGGGGTCAGAAACAAGGTATGATTATAGGGTAATGAGACTGGTTTTTCTTGTGTTGCTTATAAAATGGGTCTGGAGGCAATTCCACAAGAGGAGTTCCAAAAATGTTTTGAGTAATGGCAGCATCTTTGGATTAAATATACGGTAAGGCAGCAAGGTGTATTGAAAAGAGCACTAATAAACTGAGTCAGAAAATCTAGTCTAGCCCTGCTTCACTTTTCAGTCCACAGTAAACATGACACTTAATTTCACATCAATAAGATATTTAACTTCTCTGAGCCTCAGTGTATCTTTAAAATACCTGCCATATAGGGTTGTTGAAGATAAGTTGGAATAATAAAAATAAATATTAAAAAGCATCCATGAAACTCTACATTGCTGTAGTACTATAACATTTTACAGTTGTGCCTCGTATGACTATGTCAAAGGACCACACTCATCTCATATATAAGGTCTGGTGTGTTTGTAGTTGGTGGTTTCTTAAGTCTCATTACTTTATAGTCATACCTTGTATATGCAGGTGGGGAGTCAAGTTTAAAAGCAGTCCACAGTATACTCACTACATAACCTGAGCCTGTGTAAAGGGAAACTATGGAATGGCACATCTCATTTCAATCTGATTTGAATCAGTCATCTTAGTGTGTCCTTCAGTGGCTTCCTATTCATTTTTAAAAACACTTCTTTGGCTTAAGTTCTCCCCCAGCCATATAGTTCTTTACATCTCGTCATTCTTTTCTGAGTCTTAGCTGTCTAGCCACAACACTCGGCTTCTCCCTGACTCCATTGTTTCTTATTTCCTTCTTCCTAATATGCCCAATATATTAGAGACTTAGTTTTGTTCTTGTTTCTTCCATTGTGAATGGTGTGTGTTGCTTGTGTTGGTAACTTCTTCAAGGACACTTAGTGGCTATAGTCCTCATATTTGTGATGAAGACTGTCCCTTCTCCCTTTTTAGACCTCAGCTGGTAAGTGTGTCTCTTGATTGCACGGTGGATTTATCGGTGTGCTCAACTAAAACGTGCCACCCAAAACAGCAGTCATTTTACTGACTCACTGAACACCAGCTCATTTTTGGCCCATTCTTACCTGGTATTGATCTTGATTATTCCTTTAGCAAACTTTTAAAGTCACAGTCCAGTTTACTGGAATTTTCTGTTGACTTTGATATAACCGGTAACTTTATCTTGAAACATTCTTATTTTCCTTGCTTTTTCTCAAAAAAAAATTTTTTTTAGGAAAAAGAAAATGTGGCATCTGAACCAATGTCTGCTGGTACTCAATTACTCCCCACAGAAGTACTTCTTTTCTTGAAAGACAAGACCACTTGTCTTGCAAGATAATTCACTTCCCCTTTTCTTTTTCTCTCTCTTCTTCTGTTGCTTTTCTTTCTTGCATATTGGTACCAACAAGTAATTCTTAGTTCCAATGATTATGTGAAAGGTCCTTAAGTCATAATTTATAAAGATTTCTATTCCTATTTTTTTGTTTCCACTGGGAACGTACACAAAAACAATTTTTTTTATCCTTTCATTTATAATTATCCACTGTAAAGACCCACCTTTCACCTCTTTTTCCTGTGTAGATTGAGGGAATTATTGAGTAAAATATATGCATAATAAAATACATATACATGAAAACATTGTATCTAGTGGCAGGTTTTTAAGAGCAGGCAATCCTACTTTCATGTATTTTCTTCATGATGTACATTTTAGACAGCCAGTAACTTACATTTTGAGCACACTAGGCAATCATTTAATAAGCAAAGAAACGGGAACCAGGGAATGACCTGTACCTCATTTCTGGAGTACTTCATACCCGATTCTATTTATGATCACAATAAGAGTAAAGAGAATAATGCAAACAACATCACAGTGCTTTTGCTCATGGTGAAGTCCAAGAAATTGGATTTCAAAACTTTTAAAATATAAAGAAAATTAGTTTGGTACCAAAGTATGTGTACAAATAAATAAACTGGTTAATTTAAACATTTATACAGTGCTAGCAATATACTGGCTGTGTATAGGAGCGATGGCTGTTTTAATCATCTTTATATATGTAGATTATTTAATCTACTTTTGAGCCTTGTAAATTGCTCTAAGTTTACCATCTGTATCCCCCACTGTGAATTGATAATTGCTATGCTATAAACTCCCAGAGTTTATAAAATCTTTGGCTCTGGATAATGACTAGCAAAATAGGCTGTGTTCATTTAATGAAAAATGTTTGCCTTCAAAAGAGAGCTGTAATTGTAACCATTTGGCCTATAAAGGGAAATTATGACAACATTTTTCTAATGTGGAACCTGAGATTTCTATAGATGGTTACTGTGCAGTGGCCCTTTGAAGTTTCAGAGCTCAGTTTCTTTTGTACTTTTATTATATGGGATCTTCAGGTGACTTTGTTCCTTGGGGTAATTCTTAAAAGAATGAGGTGTATAAAATGCTTTAAGATTTTCCATCTGCTCTTAAATACCGAGGCCTGAATTTACAAATGGAGAGTAAGTTCCTGAATTCTGTTTAGTAGGTATGCAGCTGTATGAAGCATGCCAGTTGCTGTGTCATGTTCCTCTGTGCCAGATTCTCTTGCTTTTTCCTTTTTAGCTGCTGTGTTAAAATATGAAAACAATGTCATGAATATCAGGCAGTTTAACTGTTCTCCACACCCCTACTGGCTTCCAAACTTTATGGATGTTTTCACATGGTCTTTGCCTTTTGTTGGGGAAAAAGGTAAGGAACTAAAGCATCTGGGCTATCAGTTGTCTTAATTAGTAATGGAGTACACTTTTATATTTGCATGAGTCTCCTGATGGTTCAGAAATGTTTTTCTTAAAGTTATAAGAAGTATTTTTGAATTTTCTTTGTTCTCTACAAAGGTTTTTAAATGGTACTTGGTTTTTAAGTTAAAGTTCTAGTCGTTTATGTTCTTCTTATTGTAAATATCAACTTAAAATAGCTATCCTACTGTGATCAAGATGTTAAAATAACATAAGTCACTACACCATTCCTTCAGGGATTTCTTCAGTGGTAAAGATATTTAAAAAGAAAATACTGTCCTTAGAATTTCATTTGTGCACCTATACAAATAAGCTATGCAAATATAAAATAAGTCTGTTGGACATAGACATGGTGGCTTAACTTCTTTGTAAAGTGGGAAGAAATCTTTTCATGTACATATCAGTGAGGAAAAGGTTCTGGACAGCAGTCTCATGAAATCAAGTAATTAATGCAATAGAATCATCAAGACCAAACTTTCATCGAAGCAAGTAATTTCCCCAAATTCTATATAAACCCAAAGGTCTAGATTTAATGCTACTCTTTATGAATACTCTTAGTAGCATAATGACAAATCATTTTTGTCTATGTTTATTTAACGTGTATGTTTAGACAGCCACATCATTATAGAGAAAGTACCTTAATAATTGTATAAATTTTGGGTTATTTTGTCTTATTGTATAGTCACAGAGATGCTGGTTAACGTTCTCAACATATGCTCTGATGATGAATTGATTTCCGAAGATGAAATTGAAGGTAAACTTGCCTTTTTCTCATTTGAACTAGAAATGAAGAAGTTTTGGTTTTGGTTTTAGTTCGTTTTGAATAATTTTTTTGACTTATTAAAAAAGAATTATGTTCGTTCCAGAAAAATTAAATTTGAAAAATACAGGAAACCGTAAGTAAGAACAAAAAAGTTACCTATAATCCTGCCATCTCATAGATATCCACTGTTCACATCTTGATGTGATATTGTGTTACCTGTCTTTTATCTTTGCATATATTTTCCCATTTTTTCTTTTTAACAAAAAAGTCATATAATAGTATCACAAATATTTATAGTTACTTATTTTGAGAGAGAGAGAGAGAGAGAGAGAGAGAGAGAGAGAAAGAGAGACAGTGCAAGCAGGGAGGGACAGAGAGAGGGGAGAGAGAGAATCCTAAGCAGGCTTTGCACTGGACATTCAGAGAGCCCAATGTGGGGCTTGAACTCACAAACCATGAGATCATGACCCGAGCTAAAATCAAGAGTCAAGATGCATAACAAACTGAGCCACCCGGGTGCCCCTATAGTTTTTTTGTAGACTAGTTTTTAACAGTTATATAGTTGTCCTTGTTGATAATTTTTTGTTTTAATCAGTCCCCTGCTGTTGGATGTTGGATTTTTCCAACATTTTTGTTTTAAAACCCCAGAGTTTGGAAAATGCTTAAGGATAAATCTTTATACATTCTGTCAACAACCACTATTCATCACATGCCTAATATATGGCAAGTACTGTTTGGGTACTTGCATACAATAAGCTTATATTCTAGTGGAAGAAAGAGAAACAATACATAAGTGCAAGTCAGATGTTGATATATGGTATGAAAGAAAGGAAGCAATATTAGGATGTTGAGAATAACATTTTCTTGATTATTTTCATAGGATAAATTTCTAGAAATTATAATTTAAATCAGATACAGATAACCTCTAAAAGGTTGTACTAGGTTATATTTTTTGTGTGTGATGCATAGTTCATAGTGCTCTCTCCAATTATAGTTTTTATAATCTGGTGCTTTTTATATTTTAATTTGTATTTTTATGATGACTAATGAACATTTTTTGTTGTATTTATTGACCATATATGTTTTTCTTTTGTGAATTTGTCAATGCATACCTTTTGCCCATTTTCCTACTGGGTTATGTGCACGTTTATGTAGTAACATTTTGTTATATATATAGCCACGTATTTTTTTCCTAGGGTGTTGTGGGAGGTTTGATTTTAAATATATATTTTTTAATGTTTATTTATTTTGAGAGAGACAAAGACAGAATGTGAGCAGGGTAGGGGCAGAGAGAGGGAGACACAGAATCTAAAGCAGGCTCCAGGCTCTGAGCTGTCAGCACAGAGCCCATCGTGGGGCTCGAACTCACAAACCGCGAGATCATGACCTGAGCCGAAGTTGGACGCTCAACCTGGACGCTTAACTGACTGAGCCATGCAGGCGCCCTGAGGGTTGATTTTAAAGTTAGGTCCCAACTTACCTGAGAATGCAGAAGATTTTGGAAAGATGGTGGTACCTGAGTTCAAAACTCTGGCTGTCTCATTTTCCAAGCTGTGTGCTAAAGTGATTCACTCAACTGTTAGGATAAATTATCTACGTCGGGGAAAGCCTAGCCTACTTTGTGCAGATAGAGTCTTAAACATATTTATGTTTTAGATTCCACAGTGAAGGTGAGGAGCAGATGGAGCATAGCTTGTGAGTACCTTTATGTAAGATAAGAGATCACTAGAAGGAACCAATTCTTTGTGAGGGAAGAGTACAGACAAGGAAAATTAAAACGAAATAAAGAATTTAAGTTGGAGGAAGAGGAAGAAATAGATCTAGTAGAATTTATATTCACATTTAAGTGGACATGGAAGTTATTGTGAACTCTATTATATGTATTAAGAAAGGATTCTTGATGATCATAAAGGTATGCTTATAAAATTATGCCAAAAATTGCATGCATATATATATATATATAAAAGGATTGCAAATATATATATATTACAAAATTGCAAATATATATATCAAAGAATTGTTATAATAGCAACAGATTCAAAGCAATCTAAATGTCCCTCAGTGGAGAGGTGGGTAATTCACCTCTACATAGAATATTATTTTCTTCATGTAAACCTCCTTTGTCCCATTCTCTTCTAGTCAGCTCTTATTCAGCTTATTGTAACATCCTCATGGAAGACATTTCTGACCTCCCTGACTAGATCCAGTACCCGTGTCATGCTGTCTCATATCAACCTGTACCTCTCCTTAGCATTTGATAGAGTTGTAATTTTGCATTTATTTATATTATTGTAAGATTAATATATTTTACTCCCACTCAACTGTCAATTCCCTGAATGCTGGGACACAATTGGTTTTTGGTTTTAGGGCTTACCAGTATAGCCCTAAAGCCAAGTGCAGTGCAGTGAGCATGGTAAAGTAAATATTTGTTGAGTTAGATTCAGTGATATGAAGGGCAACTATTAAAAAAAGAATGGAGTAAGGCTATCAGTGCTAATATGGAAAATTTATTAGGTATTCTGTTAAGTGCAAAAGTGAATGAACAGAATCCTGTCATTCTCATTTTTTACAGGGTGTAAAGATATCAGCTGATACATGCTTTCTAATTTTTTTTCTGAAAGGAAACAAAGAATAACCATCTAGGTTATAATGGTGAATTGAACACACCTCTAATTCCATTCCTTCCTGAAACCACACTAAAACCACAGTGCAATTTTGGTTTTATTTAAGTGATATAAATTAAGGATTTCCACTTTAGTAATATCAGACTAGATAGTGTAAATCAACCCTGACTTAAGATCACTGCAAAAGCTACACACAGGATTGTAAAATTTGCTTTAAAGGCATTCAGAAAGCTAACAAAGTAAAATAATTACCAAGTTGAGATCTGGAAAAAGGCATAAATCCAGAGAGGTAAAACCAACATTTGGGACTATTTGTCTCTGGAGATATTAATGAATTTCAAAAGAGAGGGTAAGAGGTTGAGCAGCCCTCTTGATAGAAGCTATAGGGCTCATGGCTTGCTAAGGATGATGTGAGTGCTGGTAAGTTTCTCCTCATTGGTTTGGGATCCCAGAAGGTCTCATCCATGTAAGTAAAGGTAAGGGTGAACTGGAAATAGAACAGCCCTCAAAGGGACTACAGCTTACCCTCAAATCATTTCAATCCATGAAATTTAAATAAAGTAGCCCCAGGCGCCTGGCAAAAGCAAACCTCTCTAGGCTAAGATAACATCATGTAGGGCCTTAAATTCCTACAAATAGCCTTTCAAATATAATACGTGGCTCACAACCAAAATAACTAGGCGTATGAGGAGATAGAACAACATGAATGAGAACCAGCAGAAACAGCAAAAAATAAAAACAGATGCCAGATTCTCCAGACATTGGCTTTATCAGACTGAACTTTAAAATAGCTATGCTAGGGGCGCCTGGGTGGCGCAGTCGGTTAAGCATCCGACTTCAGCCAGGTCACGATCTCGCGGTCCGTGAGTTCGGGCCCCGCGTCAGGCTCTGGGCTGATGGCTCAGAGCCTGGGGCCTGTTTCCGATTCTGTGTCTCCCTCTCTCTCTGCCCCTCCCCCGTTCATGCTCTGTCTCTCTCTGTCCCAAAAATAAATAAACGTTGAAAAAAAAAATTTTAAATAGCTATGCTAGGGGCTCCTGGGTGGCTCTATCAGTTGCGTGTCCGACTTAGGCTCAGGTCATGATCTCATGGTTCTTGGGTTCAAGTCCCACATTGGGCTGTCTGCTGTCAGTGAGAAGCCTGCTTTGGATCCTCTGTCCCCAAACCCCCTGCACCTCTCCTGCTTGCTCTCTCGCTCTCTCTCAAAAGTAAATAAAATAAAAAACATTTAAAATAAAATAACTGTGCTAAAAACAAAACCAAAACAATGATTACTGTGTTCAAGATCATAAAAAACTAGGTTGAAGGGGCACCTGGTCAAGCATCAGACTTCAGCTCTGGTCACAATCTCACAGTTTGTGATTTTGACCCCTGCATCAGGCTCTGCACTGACAGTACAGAGCTTAGTTGGGATTCTCTCTGTCTCTCTCTCTCTCTCTCTCTCTCTCTCTCTGTCTTTCTGTCTTTCTCTCCCCCCCCACTGCCTCCCTGCCTCCCTCTCTCTCTCTCTCTCTCTCTCTCTCTCTGCCCCTCCTCAACCTGTGCTTTCTTTCTCTCTCAAAATAAGTAAATAAACTTAAAAAAAAAAAAACTAGGCTGAAAATTTTGGCAAAGAATTGTGAATTATAAAAGGACATGTAGCAGAGTTGATAAAGTACCAAAAGAAAATGCTAGGAAGGAAAAGGAAAATAAAATTTAAAACTCTGGACAGATGAATTAACAGATTGAATAAAGCTTAAACTGAGAATAAATGAACTAGGTAAGAGGTCAGAAAAAAACAATCTAGAATGAATGAATCATGAAAAGAAAAAAGAAAATACCAAAAAGAAAGCCTAAGGGACAGAGGATACAGTGAACAGGCATATCATCTGTGTGTTTAGAGTCCCAAAGAAGAGATAGAGACAGGGACAGAATCACTATTTGAAGAGAGAATGGATAAAAATTTTCTAAATTTGTCAAGACATTAAGCTGCAGGTCGAAGAAGCTCTGTAAACCAAAGCAGAATGAATTTAAAAAATAATAATACCATCTTAAACGCATCATAGTAAAAGTACTTTGGATGACAAAAAAACTTGGGGTTGTAAATTCAAGCCCCAAGTTCGATGTAGAGATTACCAAGTAAATAAATAAACTTCTAAAACAAAACAAAACACGTCATACTTTGGTAAGAAATGGTGTTACAATTTAGAGTAACTTTCAAGAAAAGAGAGTTTTTTTAAGTATGTAACTTTCAAGGGGCACCTGGGTGGCTCAGCTGGTTAAGCATCTGACTTCGGCTCAGGTCATGATCTTGCAGTTCGTGAGTTCAAGTCCCACGTCAGTCTCTGTGCTGACAGCTCAGAGCCTGGAGCCTGCTTCACATTGTCT